TGACAGATAGTTTTGCTTCTCACTCTCTAAGAAATCCATGAACCAATTTATTTTGATGGGAAAGGACAAATAGTTTATTCAAATCTATCTCTGAAGAGTACAGTAAACTTAAAAGCCAAATTAAAAAATAAAGAAAAAAACAAAATGCCAAATTCCTTTTCCTGTTATTCATGTATACAAGGATCTTGTCTGAAGTGAAAGCAAGAAATATAATGAAGCAGATAATATTTATACACTGTGTGATCCCCTAGCTCTTCCCATTCTCAGCTCCTTCGCACCCTGTGAAAACAGAACTGACCTCCAACTTCTGAAGCTAATATGCAAACATGGGCTTCCAGGGGCACTGCTTGCTGTGTCCATGCATCTAAGCTGAGGTGTGTATAGAGCTCTACACCTGAGGAAGATGGACATGTAGCTCATCTCTAAGATAAAAAGAGTTCCAATATTTTCACCTGTGAAGGCCAAAGAATAGTAAAAAAATAAAAATAGAATAAGCACCCCTTTCCCAAGTGACTCCAGTTATGCCTGTTTTTCTTCCAATTTTCTACCTTCCTGAAGTGGTCACTAGTTGGGCCCTTGTGGAGGCAATCACATTGGATAAGAGTCCGATGTTAAAGTTGTGTTGTCGGATTTGGTTACAATGATGATCCCCACTGGAGCTGGAGATGTGTGTGTACTCACAGACTCACACTTCTCTCTGTTCCATCGACTTAGTTCCCTCAGTAATGTTGTGATCAGTGCTACAACACAGATCTCACCCATGCATTGAATTTCTCAGTTTCCTCTATAGGTTGTAACTACCTAGTGAACTTTGTCGGCTTCTCCATGTGAGCAAGCCATGCCTCTTCACAATCTAAGGTGGGGGTTATCACAACAGTGACGCTTAAGGGATGGTGGTAAGGAAAACTGATCAAGGCAGGGGCAGAAAGCCTGTGGTTTCACCTGAAGACTGGATTCCACCAGCAGCCCTAAGATCTCTACGATAGATATTGTCTTCTGGACCCTGATTAAGCAGAGCCACTTGGAACAACGGAAAGTCCACTCTTCCTCCTATGGCATCCATATACCAGTCATTGGTATGCTTTTAGGATGTGGGATAGTGCTTTCAGTGAACCTCCTATTTTCTATAGTAAATGTGCTCACAGAAAAGCAGCACTGTCCATTGTTTCCTGCCTAGACTCACAACCACAGGAGATCTTTTACACTTACCTACAGCCAGCGATTTGTACTGGATTCCATGCTGTACCTACACTGCAAAATAACTCTCTCCAGAATTAAGTTGAAACTTCCAGCCTTAACAATCAAAGTGAAAAATCACCTCCTCTTGCCAGTGAGTTTTGTCACTTCCTTCCTCTTCTCAACTTGACCCTAGGGTTGCCATACTAAAATTCAATCTCATGATGCCTAGTGATCCCACCTACAGCATGTAATGTGCTTACATAATTTTCTTGTCTAGTAGTCATTAAGGTATCACATGATAAACAGAACTCTGTAAATAATGGCTTCTTCTGTTTCTCCCATCTTATGGTTTACAAATTCCCCTTAAACTAACTTCATTTATGGCTTGGTGCCTGACACTCAGCATGACTGCATGAGTGGTCATTGAACAAAAGAACAATCAGTAACCACTGAAATGTTGAATTGGAAAAGAAATGCAGTTCTAGCACTTGGTCGTGATTGCTGAGCCCAACCCCAGGCCTGCTTGCTCCATGAGCCCTTTTCATCCCACAGGTGCTGCTTTGATTTTTTAAATCCCTGAGTCCTTTCTGGGTGACTTCTCCCACTTCTTTGTTGTGTGTCGCTCCATCAGGCTGTCCTTGAACTTTGCCCACCATTACATGCACAGCACCAGAAATAATTTTCTTCTTTTTTCTCCACGTTTTTCAGTGTATGTTCTGTGAATGCATAACTTTGGTGTGTATTTATTCACCTTTATGTACTTGCAAGTATAAATGATTCATGGGCCAAAACCCACAACTACAGTGAGGATGAAAATAACTGAGTGAAAAATATTCAATATCCAGACATGATTTGGTTTCTGGACAGAGTTGTATATTTGTAGAAGGAAGGTGTAATGAAAAAATTAGACCAAAATTAAACAAAAATCTCTGACATCAACAGTGCATTTTCAAGCCTCAGAAGTCCCAGCATTGCAAAAGCTTCAATTTAAAGTCCTTATATGACTTCAGGCAAATCATAGCTGTGAACCTCTGTAACAATAATAAATATGTTTCAAAATCTCAAGTCACAGTGACACAAAGTCGGCACTCTCAGCCAAATCTAAAAGAATATGGTGATTGAAGGAATCAGAGCAAAGCAAGACTGAGTCTTCCATACATAATCGTACGTCCCATGGGTACTCAGAGAGCATCTGAGGCCTGTGGCAGGAGAGTAGGAGTTGCACTGCACAATTCCCACTGGTGGAAGGCCATGTAGCTTGAGTTTCTTGATCATGACCTGTGCTTGCTCTGCAGATATACACATTGTCATCACTAACATTGGAACCCACCATATCTTTGATTGTGTTAGCAAAGGTTCATACACTGTCTCCTTGGAGATCTCTTTTCTGTTTTCCCAGTCCCTCAGAAACCTGTATGGAGGCCCTCTGCTTAGTGATAAAATCACCATTTCCTGAGTGACACCAAGGGCTGCTGTCAAGAGGAGCCTCACCGAGTTCCTCATGGAAAAGAATGGAGGACACAGTGAGCACGAGGGCACCTGAGCAACATGCAGCAACTCCCACGCAACAAGTCCTGGGAGGCCTTCTCTACTGGGGCTCAGGAATCTCATTTCTCCAGTGTCACACTGACATGTTTTATTTTTTTTTCCTCTGTGCTGATAATGAGTGGGATTTTCCTGACTTCTGAGCTGCCCACAAAGTTTCTTTTAGTGCTCTTGTACAAAGTCCTTGAAGTGGGGGCCTGCCCCTAAGCTCAGATCTTCAAGTGGCTGCTTCAACAAAGCAGTCAGGCTCAGGTTGCTGTGCTTTGATCCCCACAACTCAAGCCAGTCAGTCATGCCTTGAAGGCATTCATAGCAAAGTCCTTGACGTTTTGAATGGTACTAATATTTAGGAACTAGATATCTCTTGGCCACAACTTTATACATAGTCAGTTTGTTGTCAATTTTTAAGTTTTCTATTGAACTTTTTTCTTTGACAATTTGTCCCCAATTCTCACTATACATCTCTCTATAATGAGTATTCATGGATTGAAGGTTTTTTCACAAGATTAGTTTGTCTCACTCGTAAGTCTTTACACATGGGAAAAATATAAACATCTTACTCTTAATCCTATTCCCTATTCTTAATCTTATTCCCCAGAGTGTCAATACCATTGGAGCCCTTGTTTCCACCTAAATCCACTGATCCTGACCTGCACTGTGCGCATTCACATCAGCACTCTGGTTGTTTAAGCAATGAGGGTCACCACTGATTAGGTCTCCTGATGGCATTCTAGAGCTTCTCTGGCTTTCATTACTACAACTTTCCAAATCCTACTTGGAAACCAGATCCAAAGGCTCCAGAACACACAGAGTATGATGACAGAAATGAGAACTCTTCTTTGCTACCATTTATTCAAGCTACATGATGCATTCAGCATAGAGAGAAAGGTTAATTTTATTCATACTTTCAAAAGACTCAGCTCATCTTCAGTTATTTCTAATTCAAGATTGTGATGACTGAGAATGAACTGGAAGAGCAGGGCTTAATTTACAGCCATGGATGGCAGAGCAGAGTGCACCAGCAGAGCTAATGCAACCAGACCTGTTCCTCAAGCTGTGGCCCACTGGATCACATGCCTAAGTGAGCCCTCTAATCCTGTACACTGCTTATAATGCAAGCATTCGCATAATTAAGATTAACCATCACAAATAGGAGAAAGGTTCTGGAAAGACATGACCATCAATTCCATATGCAAATTCACAAGGATGGCAATGGACATGTTTACATTTTTTGGACAGATGATCTACTGCCTTGTACAATGTGCCCAACAAAATTCTTGTCTCAAAATCTGTAAAGTCAACACTGGATTATTAATTACATCATCACCTCCCCTAGAGAGCACAGCAGCAGAGACTGTGGTCTGAAAAATCAGTTGTATCATGCATCCTGACTCAGTGCAATGTGTATTTTGAGAACTTCCCAACTGTCAGTGTTCTTATAGAATAAAATGAGCATAAGTACAGTGCTTACCTTTTCAGGTCTTTTACATATTATTGCTTCTCTCTCTCTCTCTCTCTCTCTCTCTCTCTCTCTCTCTCTCTCTCTCTCTCTCCCTGGCCCCAATAGTAATATATTTGATTATTTAGTTTATGTTTTTTGTTTTTTGTTTTTTTTTTTCTGTACCGGGGATTGAACGCAGACCTTTGCGCTTGCCAGGGAAGCTCTTATTCCACTGAGCCTGAGCCATCACCCCGGCTCCCAGTTTATTTTAATTTTATGAAAAAAGTAAAGCAAAAGCTCATGACAAAATATCAGGAGAACAGCTTCAATTTATATATTGAATATTGTTATCATTAAAGTAGACAAAAAGTACAAAATATATACAATGTGTTAATTATAAAATCTCTCACACTAATGTTACGAAATTTCTGTATTATTATTTTTATGTTTCTCCCTTTAAAATAAAATAGAACATTTTATTTTAAAATATGTTTTAAAATACATTAAGAGTTTAAAAGATTCTCCAAGTCATATTTGCTCTCACATTTCTTTACAATGAACTAACAATGAACCAAGAGAAGCTAGTACCATAGTTATTTACTTTATCTTTAGAAGGAAAGCCTATGAATATCTACTAATATACACGAAGACAGAAAAGCTAAGCTGTGTTTGGGTGGAATATTTCAAATATACAAACAATGGTCCTGGGATAACTTGCTAAACTTTTTGTACAAATTCAATACAAATATATGAAAGAAAGTATATTCCAGAGCCAGTGAGATAGCTAAGCAGACAAAGTGCCTGCTTTGGCAAATGCAGGAACCAGGGTTTGATCCCTGATGCTGAATGTGACGCTGATGTGCCAACCCATCCCCTGTGGTGGGTTGAGCCAGCAACAGAGTCCAAATGTGGTGGCACATGCCTGTAATCCCAGGGCTAAGGATGTTGAAAACAGGAGGATCACCACAACTATAGTCTGCATAGTGAGACCCCATACCAAATTCACAAATTGATAAAAGAAAGTATATTTCTATATAGCCTGTATTTTTTATGTAGGGCAATTTAAAAATATCCTTTGGAACATTCCATAATTTAAATCAATATTAGAATGTAAAAATTATTTATTTATTTATTTATTTATTTATTTAATCTATTTTGGTATGAGGGATTTAACTCAGAACCCTGGGCTTGACAGGCAGGCTTTTATTTTGCTGAGCTATCACCCCAATCCTAGAATCTAACATTTATTTGTTACCTGGAAGAATTTTCCTAACAAAGCAACTCCTAATAGCATTTTTCAACTGAGCATTTCTCAAAGAATAGATCAAAGGATTCAGCATGGGAGTTATCATGGTGTAGAAAATAGTAATTGCTTTGTCAATGGGTAGAGTCATTGCAGGTCTCATGTACACAAATATGCAGGGAACAAAGGTC